TTTTGTGTTGTGGAGTTCGTCAGAGATGAAGATGAACTAGGAGCGCTCTGCTGTTGTTACTTTGCAATGTGTGTACTTTAACTTTAAAGTTCTAACTGAACTCATTGTAGATTCTAACATATTATCCTCACCATCTCTGTCATTGTCATTTCTATAGTTTTGTCCTTTTTGTTGTGCGTTAACTTTATAATTATTTTGTTCACTTAAACATTAATATTCCTATTATTACTGCTCAAACTGGTGATCCATTATTGCAGCTTGGTCCTGGTATTTTTGGCATACTAAATATGATGCACTATGTATTGGGACATACCATGTAGATCTTTTCTGTTATGCTCAGTGGTTTGGTAGTGTGGGTATTGGAACACATAGAGACAGGTGGCAGATGGTGGAGGCAGGTTAGAAACATTTCCACAGGTTTTTATCTGTAACTTTTCTTGTTTTCCTGGTGATGGAATTATAGGTTTTTATCCTGTAAAACACAAATCATACCTGGAGGTCTGTGTTTATCACTGCCTGTCTGGAACATCAAATTGCAGTCCATCTGAACTGACACAGGTTCAGGTGATTCACTGTGATGAAAGCTGCAGATTGGACGTTCATGTGGCGCAAAGTGAAGCTCAGGGAACGAAAGAGAGTCTTTAACGCTGTACTTTTAGACAGCTGCTCACTCAACACATTCTCACTCCGACCTCGTCACATATCGACGTTTGCTCATGGACTTTCCACGTCCACATATGACGTCCAAGGTACCCTGGGTGTGTTGGTTGTTGACGTTCTGTGACGCCGTGTCAACTTCAGCCTGTTACATGCATTGTCTGTTTTCAAAATACACTTCTGTTTTCACAGGAAATGTACAGTTTGCATACAGTCTCTTTCAAAATAAAAGCACTACGTCAGGACAACACCGCCAACTGATGAATTTTTCCTTCAACAACACACACACGTGGTTACGTTTAGTCCACACACACACATGGTTGGGTTTAGGACAAAAGATCAGGGTTTGGCTTTACAATCTTACAGGAAGTGAACACTGCTTTCCTGGGTGAAAATCAGGGGTTGTTGGACCCATCCCCCACCCCTCCTGCCTGCTTTATTTTCAGCAGGGGATCAATTTACGTTTGGGGCTCTTGCGGTACCATTTGGCCGGATTGGCTGCAGCTGCGGCAGTCGCTGAAGCAAAAACACGAGTGTGAGAGGAGTTCAGGGAGGCTGTGGAGAAGGACTTCGGTTGGCCTCAACGAAGTTCTGGCAAACTGTCAGAAGCCTCAGCAGAGAAGGACCGGGACTGGGGATACTGTGGAGGGGTGGAAGGAGCACTTTCAGGAACTCCTGAACCTGGCTGTCACGTCCTCCATGGAGAAGGCAGAGCCGTAAGACTCGTGGAAACTCTTGCAGAGGTCGCTGAGGTGGTCAAAAAGCTCCCCAGTGGCAAGGCGCCAGGTGTGGATGAGATTTGCCCTGAGATGCTGACAGCTCTGGACGTTGTTGGGCTGTCTTGACTGCTGAAATGAGTTTCTTCCTAAGGGTGGGTGGGCTTGCTTGGAGATAGGGTAAGGAGCTTGGACATCCAGAGGGAGCTCAGAGTCGAAAGGGGTCAGTTGAGGTGGTTCAACATTTGATCAGGATCCTCCTGGGCGCCTCCTGTTAGAGATGTTCCGGGTACGTCCCACTGGTAGGAGGCCCTGGGGCAGACCCAGAACACACTGGAGGGATTACGTATCTCATCTGGCCCAGGAACACCTCGGGGACCTCCAGGAGTGTTGCTGGGGAGAGGGACGTCTGGGGTGCTTTGCCCAAGACCTGGCTTTGGATAAGTGGTTGAAAGGCGGTATTTGGGAACACTGCAAACACATATTTCATCCTCCAGAGGTTTCATGTTACATCCATGTAAATTCCACTAAATGTATATGTTTTTATTCAGGACACCAGACTGTGTGAAGCTGTACATGAAATCCTAAAAATCCTATTTAAACTTTTAACCACTTCAAAACTTTCCTCTCTTTAACTGAGAGCATCAGCAGCGCTGCAGAAAACACGACAGCTTCCCACAGAAGCAGAGTTAAGGTCAGCGTGTTCTCCGCTATCAACAGGAGGGTTAAATGTGAGACCGACTGAGAGTTCAGAGCAGAGACTTTCTGCTTCTTCAATTGCATTAAATGCTTGAACTCAGACGCTGTGGTGTCATTTCTTTATGGAGAAATATTCAAGCTAAGGGCTTTTTTCTTTTTTTAATTTGAACCGTCCATCCTCTAAATGTATAACTACATCAGCTCAACTTCTTCCACTTCACACCTTTGACTCGTGGGTTTGTTCTGGTACAGATGATATGAAGCTTTTCTTTTGAGGTGATCTGAGAGGATCTTTTTCAGGTGCCTCCTGAAGATTAACAATCAGACAAATATCTGAGAAAGTGCTGAGTTTGATGAGCAATTAACGGCATGCTGCTGTGGAGTGTTGGACATGTTGGGTTGAGTCAGTCATCTCGCTGGGAGGGAAGCTTAGAAGACAGGTCATCGCTCAGAGATGCTTCATGTGGACAGAACACAGCCAACACGTTCTCTGCTAATGAACCGCCACAGAGGCTGATCAGGTTTGAATAATGACTTACAGAGAAAAGTTGTGTTAGCTGCTTGAAACAACTGGACAGAGGTGGAAGAAGGACTCAAATATTTTACTTAAAGCTACCATATACAACACATATACAACACATACACAACACTATCAACTCCATCAGTACGCCACGCCAACTTACCCACCTAAGTTATTTGTTGAGAGCATAAATAGAGAGATGCTGAGCTTTTCAAATGATGATCAATAAGTGTGTGCAGTTCGATTTCAGCCGGGGACGTTTGTTGCAGGTCCTCCCACCTCTCTCTCCGTCTTCACTATCAACTGTCCAACAAAGAGCCGCACAAAAGCACCAGGACAAATTCAGAATGACAGGACGTGTGGTGTGTAAAGAGAGTAAACATCTCGTGTTTAACATCTGATCCTTTGATCAAACTGTGTATGTGTCCTTCTGTTTCATTAGATCCTCTGTCGACTGCTGAATTACCTCCACCGCTGCGATGACCTGATTTCTCCACAGGGATCGATGATAAATATCACCTCCTCCTGGGGGATCAGCTGCACACTGTGAAGTCTCTAAAAGCCTGAACATCATAAACTTCGTCCTGTTGGACTCCACTCAGCTGTGCGTTAGAGCTCCGAGCCCAGACTGTGACCTCAGAGGTCATAAAGACTAAATGAACTTCCTCCAGTCGAGCTGATGAAGAGGGAGCGGCAGAGAGCAGCTCACTGTTTATTTACTGTCTGATTTACTGCTGTACGGCGCCGACACACACTCAGCTGTCTGTGAGGGTCACATGGTACACTAGTGTGGTGGACTTCACCTGCCTCCTATAATGGCCTGAGTTAAGCCTGGTATCCACTGTGTGATTTTGGGCTGTCCCAGATGAAAGATGACCAACAGTAACGAAACGTGGCGATATCTTTGGACGTGGCTCTAAAACAGTGGTCCTATGTCGCACAGTGAGAGGCTCAAGGATGGCTGTTGTCACGGTCTGCGATCAAAGACAGCCTGGGATAAAATTCTGACAGTGTGACTGCTGTTACCACCTACGTCTACTAACCAACCAATAGAAAGGCAGCATGAGATGATGCACTGATCAGCGCTAAACCCAAACAAACAGATATAGCTCATGATCGCGTGAAGAAGGTCGAAACATAGAGGGATATAGAGGTGGAACTACAGCTGCCAGATGAGACACCTAGCAGCTAGCAAACACAGACACACTGCAGTATATAGTGCCCACAGAACTTTGGGTTATTCTTGGACATTTTAATAATATTTTCGGACATTTCATCAATTTTTTTTTCTAACTTTCTAACAATATTTTTGGACATTTCATCAACATTTTTTCTAACTTTTGAAAAATATTTTCGGACATTTCATCAACATTTTTTCTAACATTTCATCAATATTTTTTCTAATTTTTGAAAAATATTTTTGGACATTTCATCAAAATTTTTTCTAACTTTTGAAAAATATTTTCGGACATTTCATCAGCATTTTTTCTAACTTTTGAAAAATATTTTCGGACATTTCATCAACATTTTTTCTAACTTTTGAAAAATATTTTCGGACATTTCATCAACATTTTTTAGGACATTTTAATGTTTTTGGGAAATTTTATCAAAACATTTTCTGAGACTTTATGAACATTTTTTTCAGACATTTTCCTGATTATATTATTGATAATAATAATTTTAATAATGTGAGCCTCTATGCTGTGCTTCACAGTTGGAGAAGTAATAACCTGTGTACCATCCTTGTGCACTCAGTATGTGAAGCTGTTGCATCGTACATCGTAGCCTGTGATTCAGTAGGCGCTGTCATCGCACAGTCTGCAGACATCAAACTTGATGTCGTACCCAAGTTCATCAGATCCATGTGGCACAGTGTAGCTGCACTAAACTTAGAGGATTGCTAAAAATCTCAAGCTCGGTCAAAACTGAACCTCAGTGAACGTCTCCAAATCTGTCCACACCTTCATGTTTTCAGTCTGCAGCCTTTCTCTTTACATTTTAGCAAATCTGTGTCATGAAACGTTTCTTAGCACTGAACACACAACACACACCTGGATCAGTTTGATACTTCACCTGAAACTGAGCCATGATCAGATGCTACACAAACACATTTTTATATCATCTATAAACGGTGGATATTGGAGATGTTGATACCACTGATATGACTTGTGATTGGAGTTATGACTCTGACAACAAGTAAAGTTTCAGCCAAGTGTCATCAAGCAACTGAAACAGTTTAGACACTGCTGGTGTCTGTTCAGAGAGCATCATCTGTTCATCTCTGAATAATTCATTCATATTTACACCGCTCCTGTCTGCAGACATGCAGTAAACTGTTAATGTCAGGGTGAGCTCAGTCATACAAATCTGTGTGTGTGTGTGTGTGTGTGTGTGTGTGTGAACCTTACCGTATTGCATGGTCCATGCGTGACACAGTGAGGTACGCTGCCAGGTTGGCGGTGTACGACGAACACACGATGAGCGTGAAGAGCCACCAGCTGCCCATCACGATCCTCAGAGCCACGGAGCCGACCACACCATCCCCACCTACACACACACACACACACACACACACAGATGACCATTATGTCCACATCATCACTCAACACAGAGATTTACAGGTGTTTTCAAACTGTTCTCAGAGCTGTTAAATACTGATCACACACACAGCGAGCAGACACGTGCTGCGGGGATCAGACCTGTGACCTCTCAGTTACAGGTCGCTCTCGGTCACCAGGAGGCCACCTGTCGCCTGATACCAGCAGCAGGTGAGAGCGGTGCTTCATCACAGTGAGCAGAGCGGCTGCACGGCTGCATCTAATCACAACCTGTTAGGCCTAAAAGGTTTCCCAGGCAACCTGCCAGACCATAATAGATGCAGCTGGGTGCCTCTGCTGGGAAACAGTGTGTGTATGTGTGTGTCCATGCTGGTGTGTGTTTGTCAAAGTGTGTGTGGATCCACTTGGGTTTGTGGACGAGGACACGCATGTTTCAGGTTTGGTGTGTCATTCTGTCTTTGTGAGGACGGAGTGGTTTGAGACCTTCACTGTGAGGACGATTTTAAAAAGGGTTGGACGTTTTTAAAAAGGGCGTACATGTTTGGAAACTAATGACATTTTTGAAAAATGAGGACGTTTCATTAAGTAAGGACATTTTTGGAAATGTGGACTTTTTTGATAAGTGAGGACAATTTGGGGAAATTTCTAAAGAACATGTCTCATCAGTCACAGTGAACTTGTCTTCATCAGCTGCTGTCTTATATTCAATCTGCTGATGACTGTGAGAAGTCCTGCAGGGGACATTTTGGAGGGGGGTGGGGTCTCAAAAACATACAGATGTTTTAAGAAGAGAGGACATTTCTAAAAAGGGCGTACATGTTTGGAAACTAATGACATTTTTGAAAAATGAGGACGTTTCATTAAGTGAGGACAATTTTGGAACATTTCCGAAGAACATTTCTCATCAGTCACAGAGAAGTTGTCTTCATCAACCACTGTCTTTTATTTTTTGTTGGGTTGTGTCTCTTTGTGGTCATTTTGTGTGTCTTTGTGGCTGTTTTGGTCTTTTTGTGGTCTTTTGTGTCTCTTTCTGGTCATTTTGTGCCTCTTTGTGGTCATTTTGTGTCTCTTTGTGATCATTTTGTGTCTCTTTGTATTCGTTTGTGTCTCTTTCTGGTCATTTTGTTTCTCTTTGTGGTCATTTTGTGCCTCTTGTGGTCATTTTGTGTCTCTTTGTATTCGTTTGTGTCTCTTTCTGGTCATTTTGTGTCTCTTTGTGATCATTTTGTGGTCATTTTGTTTCTCTTTGTGGTCATTTTGTGACTCTTTCTGGTCATTTTGTGTCTCTTTGTGATCATTTTGTGGTCATTTTGTTTCTCTTTGTGGTCATTTTGTGTCTCTGTGTAGTCGTTTGTGTCTCTTGTGGTCATTTTGTGTCTTTTTGTGGTCATTTTGTGTCTCTTTGTAGTCATTTTGTGTCTCTTTGTGGTCATTTTATGTCTCTTTCTGGTCATTTTGTGTGTCTTTCTGGTCATTTTGTGTCTCTGGTCATTTTGTGTGTCTCTTGTGGTCATTTTGTGTCTCTGGTCATTTTGTGTGTCTTTGTGGTCATTTTGTGTCTCTTTGTGGCTGTTTTGGTCTTTTTGGTCATTTTGTGTCTCTTTGTGGTCATTTTGTGTCTCTTTGTGGTCATTTTGTGTGTCTTTGTGGTCATTTTGTGTCTCTTTGTGGTCATTTTGTGTGTCTTTGTGGCTGTTTTGGTCTTTGTAGTTGTTTGGATCTCTGGAGTAATTTCTGTCTTTTTTTTTTGTTTTGTTGCTTTGTCTCATTTTGTGTTTATTTGTAAACATTTTGTTTCTCTTTGTAGTTGTTTTGTGTCTTTTTGTGGTCATTTTGTTTCTCTTTGTAGTCATTTTATGTCTCTTTCTGGTCATTTTGTGTCTCTGGTCATTTTGTGTGTCTTTGTGGTCATTTTGTGTGTCTTTGTGGTCATTTTGTGTCTCTGGTCATTTTGTGTCTCTTTGTGGCTGTTTTGGTCTTTTTGGTCATTTTGTGTCTCTTTGTGGTCATTTTGTGTGTCTTTGTGGCTGTTTTGGTCTTTGTAGTTGTTTGGATCTCTGGGGTAATTTCTGTCTTTTTTTTTTTGTTTTGTTGCTTTGTCTCATTTTGTGTTTATTTGTAAACATTTTGTTTCTCTTTGTAGTTGTTTTTCCCATTTTTGTAGTCGTTTTGTGACTCAGCAATTCCTTCCCATCTCTTTCTGGTCATTTTATGTGTCTCTTGTGGTCATTTTGTGTGTCTTTGTGGCTGTTTTGGTCTTTTTGTAGTTGTTTGGGTCTCTGGGGTAATTTTTGTCTTGTTTTTTTGGTTTTGTTGCTTTGTCTCATTTTGTGTTTATTCGGAAACATTTTGTTTCTCTTTGTAGTCATTTTGTGAATAAGGTTTCAGAAAGAGGCCAGAGTCCTCACAAACACAGAAGTACAGTGTGAGTGAGTCTGAGGTGGTCATCTCTCCTCATCTAAAGACAGCTTTACTGCTGTGTTTTATCCTCACACCAAACTGCAGTGTTACTATTCTGTGTTAGTGCTGTAACCATCATCAGTTTAACCATAACACACACACACACATGGATCTACACACCTCCACCCGCTCAGAAACCTACGTTCATGACTTCACTGTGACATTTCCTGGAGCTCTCTGCTCAGTAATCTAAGCCTCCCCCTAATTCATTTAAGCACTTTAAAGTTTTATGTCCTTGTTTCTGCTTCTCTGCTAAATATTTCAGACACTACAAATCCTCCTGTGATTATTGTTTCCCCTCTTCTGTCGCTGTGTAATCCGTGTAACAGCTCTGAATTAAAACTCCCCCAAATCAAACTGAAATCCGTCTTTACAAGGCAGATAATCTTCCCTTTGCTGTGATCAGCCCTGATTGATTTCAGCCAAACAGCCGAGCCGCTAAACTGTGAGAACATCTCAAACAGAGCGCCACTCTTTCCCACTTTCAGCTCCTGTTTCATATCCAGAGTGATTCCCAGAGAGCGGGAATCAGATCATCGTCCCAGCGGCACAGTGAGACGCCGCTGCTGCAGGAATCAAACCTGTGAACTGTGTCGCTGTTCAGTCAGGAAACTTAAAGATATACTCTGAATAAAAACATGCACAGACTCATTCAGCAGTGATCCTTCTCATTCATCATTTTATTATTTCCTGTGTTCAGGACATTTTATCGGCGTGTCCCCCCCACAGCGCTCAGGTGAGGTCGGGGCTTCACAAAAAGTAGAGACCAGGAGTCTCATTATATCTATCGACACTGACAAACAGCAGCACAGGTAAGAGGAGAAATATGTGTTCTTATTTTTGGGGTGAACTGTCCCTTTAAAGTAACGAGCAGGGACAGTGTTGAACACTTCAGTTACAGCTGGGATCGAACCTGTGACCCTGCAGTTCTTTCTCTAACATCTTCACCGTCTTACTTTGTGTTTCTTCCATCACCATCTTTTCTCTCACCTTGATGGACGAACGCTCCGTAAACGATCCAGATGGCGCTGTGCAGAGAGCCCGACCCCACGCTGCCGTTGGGGGGCTGTCCTGGCGGTGCATTCTGGGTAGAGGAGCGCAGTGCCTGCAGCCTGTTGAGCAGGAAGATGAGCACTCCCACCACGGGGATGGCGGCGGCGATGCAGGCCCAGACGGCGAGGTCGAACGGTGCAAACAGAGAGAAGATGTTAATCTTCTCTTCGGGTTTTCGCAGCAGGATGCCAACGCTGTAGTCAAGGTAACGCTTGCTGAAGTCGACCACGTTCTCTCTCTCAGGCGTGATGGTGATGGCTGACACCGCCAGGTCGGCTCTCTGGAGGAGGAAGCAGAGGAAGACAGGTGGATAAGAGATTTTATGTTTTGATTTGTGTTACTAAGAAAGGGTGGATGGTGACCAGCAGCAGGGGCGTACTCTATGCAGAGTCTCTGTGGGGCCCCTTATTTACTTCTGTTTTTTGGAACCCCAGTTTCCATATCATGGAGAAAGACATGACAGTCTACGTTTGTGCTCCAGCAGCAGTCACTCACTCAGCTTTAGCTGTGCTTAGAGACAAATCCCAGCGCAGGGCGAACTAAACCATTTTGCACCTTTAAGGGGTGAGAGCCGCCTCAGAGAGCTCCCAGTGTTTTTTAAAATTTAAAGTTCAGTGTTTCAATTGATTTTTTTCTGCTGATTTTAATTTAATTTTGGCACTAATTACTCTGAACAAAACAATGTAATCAGTCCCCTGAACAGCAGAGACAGAACTGACTGACTAAATCTGAGCCCAACTCATTCTCACTCCGACCTCGTCACATGTCCACGTTTGCTCATGGACTTTCCACGTCCACATATGACGTCCAAGGTACCCTGGGTGTGTTGGATGTTGACGTTCTGGGACGCCGTGTCAACTTCAGCCTGTTACATGCATTGTCTGTTTTCAAAATACACTTCTGTTTTCACAGGAAATGCACAGTTTGCATACAGCCTCTTTCAAAATAAAAGCACTACGTCGGTACAGCGCCGTGAACACCAGCGTCCTGGACCCATGGATTCAGTGCGGACAAAAAGCTCTGATGTTACATGATGGAACATGATGGTCAGATGCTAGTTTTCTGTTGGGACAGGGTGTCATGATGTTTCACATGTGACACATGGAAATATGTGGTACACTGGTCTGGTCTGATGTTTGGCTTAACGTAAACTGTAACTTTACCTTGTTGATGAGATCACCGATCATCCCGTTCCACGAGCCGTTGGGAAGCTGAGATCCATATTTACTGTCCGCCACCTGGAGGAGAGATGAATGAGGCTCAGTGAGTTCAGGAGCTCATCTCAACAACAGCAAAAAGACTCAAACTAAAATCCTAAAGTCCATCATGTCAGAGTCTGAACCTCCTGAGAAACTAAATTGAGAGCTGTAGTTATTCATCCAACACTCAAGCTTCAACATGTCCACAGTTTCAATGTGACACACGTCCGCCAGCAGCCAATCATCAGCTCTGAAGAACACAAACAGGTTCAGAAAACAAATTCTCACAATGTGACTGCTGCTACGACTCACGCCTGCAAACCAGCCAATCAGAGCATGACATGACTGGCTAACGTGGCTCTGGAAGCGCCCACAGACATATGTGGACACCATCTCACTTTACACTGTGCCAGTATACAGTTAAAAAATGTGTCAGCTCTGCGACCACATTCTTGTTTCCTTTGGTACAGACGGATGATGTGAGCTGATGAAATCTCTGCTCGCATTTTTTTTTTTTTTTTAATTTTAATTTATTTTCTCAGATTGTAGTTTCAGTAAATATTTGTATATAAATATATTTAGGTGCTATGATTATTGTGACAAGGACATAAAAGCCTTTTTCCCAATTAATATTATTTTATCTCTCCAATTTCCACAGACAAACAAACAAAAACTAAATTCTTTGTATTTATATATTTTTTAAAATGGAACGATACATGTCAAAGATTTCTTCCTCAAAAAACAAACAGCATATGGTCCCGAATATGTGACACGCCCACAATCTTTCACACACACACACACACACACACACACACACATTCAGAGGGGCTTCCCGTCACTTAAGCTGCTGTTTCCTGTTATTTAGATAATCAGTTTTGTGAATATTTGCCTTCACGTCACGTCATTTGCACTAGATTTTTCAGTGTGTCATTTGTATGTGTCACACTCTGATGCTTTCTTTTGATACTGTATTTTGAAAGTTCCAAAAAATCTTTTCTGATGGGGCGGCCTCTAGCTCAGCGAGTAAAGCAAAGAGCTCCTTTATTCTTCTTAACTGTGTGACTGTGACATTTAATAACACCTGAATTCAACCTGCAGGCGTGTCAGTCAGTCAGTCAGTCAGTCAGTCAGGTCAGTCCCACCTGGTAGATCTCATATTTGAAGCCCAGGATTTTGGCGAGGGCGTCCAGGACGTCGATGGAGAAGCCTTTATATCTCTTGGGTTGCCCCAGGATGTTCTCTGCCACCATGACGAAAGGATCCTCCTGCAGAGCGACAGAGACAGAGAGGCAGAGAGGTGGGGGTGTAAGCGAGGATAAAAGCCTCGGAGTTACTTCACTGTGTGTTCAACAAACTGCAGCTTCAACCACAGAGCACAGACAAACAGAGTGTGTTTGGTGAACGTTCACAGTAAATGAGAAGAAATCAGGGTCCTGTGCTGCAACACATTTAAACAGGAGACAAACGGAGAGTAAAAGAAAAGGTTAGAATAAATACAACATGTTAATAATGTACTCACAGACCAGGACATGAAAGGAATGGGTATAATATTCTTCAAAGGTTGTTACTGAAAATTGTGAAGTATGATCCATAAGAAACACAAACACAAAGACCACCAAGGTGCCAGAAAAAAGACCACAGAGACTCAAAAAGACCACAAAGAGACACAAAAAGATGGAACAGAGACAGAACAGTCTACAGAGATACTCGGAAAGACACATAGGACCACAAAGAGACACAAAAAGACCACAAATAGACTCGAAAATACTACAACGAGACAAAACAGTCTACAGAGGGACTCAAAAAGACCACAAAGAGACACAAGAAGCCGCAGAGACACAAAAATACTACAAAGAGACAAAACAGTCCACAGAGAGACTAAAAACACCACGACAAGGCACAAACAGACCACAAAGAGACAAAAAAGACCACAAAGAGACTCAGAAAGACTGAGAAGAGACAAATAAGTCCACTGAGAGACTCAAAGACACACAGGACCACAAAGAGACACAAAAAGACCACAAAGAGACTGGAAAGACCAAAACGAAACAAAAAAGACCACAAAGAGACTGGAAAGACCACAGAGACAAAAAAGACCACAAAGAGACTCAAAAAGACTGAGAAGAGACAGAACAGTCTACAGAGATACTCGAAAAGACACATAGGACCACAAAGAGACACAAAAAGACCACAAATAGACTCAAAAATACTACAACAAGACAAAACAGTCTACAGAGGGACTCAAAAAGACCACAAAGAGACAAAAAAGACCACAGAGACTCAAAAAGACCACAAAGAGACAAAAAGACAACAAATAGACTCGAAAATACTACAAAGGGACTCAAAAAGACCACAAAGAGACACAAGAAGATCGCAAAGAGACAAAAAAGACCACAGAGACTCAAAAAGACCAGAAAGAGACTCAGAAAGACCACAAAGAGGCACAAGCAGACCACAAAGAGACAAAAAAAGACTGAGAAGAGACAAAACAGTCCATAGAGAGACTCAAAAAGACAAAGACACATAGGACCACAAAGAGACTGACAAGACCAAAAAGATACTCAAAACACAACAACAAAGAGACACATAAAGACCACAAAGGGACACAGAAAGACTGAGGAGACAAATAAGTCCACAGAGAGACTCAAAGACACATAGGACCTCAGAGAGACTGGAAAGACCAAAAAGAAACAAAAAAGACCACAAAGAGACACAAAAAGACTGAGAAGAGACAAATAAGACCACAGAGAGACTCAAAAAGACCACAAAGAGACAAATGAAGATCACTAATCGTTGCCTTTCCTATGATGATGTTTCCTGACAGAAACAGTGCATTAAAGTCTAAAGTTTCTCTGCAGAGAGGCGTTCACAGGCAGTGTGTGTCTGTGTGTTTGTGTGTTTATGTGTGTGTGTTTTTGTGTGGTTGTGTTGGTGCTGGTAGCTGGCAGCGTTCAGAGCTGGAAGTGTTGCAGCTGCAGGGGATCAGCGGCAGGGTGAAGGTATTAGTCTCGCTTGGTTAGAGCTGCGTCTCGGCGGTGCTGCGCCAGCACAGGAGGAAGCTCTGGCACAACCTGCTGCTGCCGTGGGATCACGGCCCAAAAACGCTCTGCTGTTTGTATCTCTTAAACTAATCACACTGACCGGAGGCGCTGCTTACGCTGTGGTGCTGGATCGATGCCCTCTCAGGAAAAAAGTGTTGCAGGGGAAAGTTTGTGTGGTGAGACAGTGAGAGGAGACGAATCAGCAGCGATAATAAAAACTCTCAGAAACACACTGAGCTGTATGAAGGAGTTTTTCTTTATTGACTGAGGGATTTTTCTGTGGATTCATTGAAGTGTATTTTCTTCTGTGGAGTGTGGGATTATTTCTGTAACATCAAGAACTGAACTCATGTTTAAAGAACTAAATTGACAGAATGGAGCAAACAGCACAGATTGTATTTTCTCTCATCGAGTCTCAAGACTGTAATCTCTGACTGAGATATACTCCCACTGAGGGCGACACACACACACACCAACGCTGATCATTTTAAACACACACACTTTCAGTCTGAACACGTAGCTTCAAGGTTTTATTCTGGCAACATGTTATTAATGCAGGGTTTACTGAGGTTCAGTTTGATGTTAAATGTGAACGTAGATTTTCTCAGGTATCAGTAGGGGGATTATTAAATTAACTGATCTGAATGTATCGACACGTTCTTAGAATTATTTAGTCAAACCTACAGGGCACAAGCTCAGGGGCCTAAGGTGTCGGGGCCCCATGGCCTTCACTTGCAAAATGTCACTCAAGTTAACACACGTAATGAGGAAGAGACTCAGAGGCCACAAAGAGGGTCACAAAGACCACAATAGGCTCAGAACCACAAAGAAACTCAAAAACACCATATAGATGCAGAAACCCCCACACAGAGACCACAAAGAGACCAGAAAGAGACATGAAGAGACACTAAAAACACAAAAAGACACATAGAGACCACAAAGAGACCAAAAAGACTATGAAGAGACACCAAACAACTACAGACTCAAGACCACAAAAAAACTCAAAAGCATCATAAAGACTTGCAAAAAGACCACAAACAGACACAAAGCGATGCAAAGGAACTGCAAAGACACACATAATTCCTACAAAAACCAGTAAACAACCACAGAGAGACACATAACGACTACAAAGAGACATAAAACAACCGCAAGGAGACACAATATGATTAAAGGGCGGCAAAAAAATGACAAAGGGGACAGACAAGTATCTCAAAGAGACACAAAAAGAGACTCCAAAAGACCACAAAGTGACCCAAAAAGACCATGAAGAGACACCAAAGAAACACAAAGAAACTCAAAAACATCAGAGACTCAAAAAGACCACAAGGAGACACAAAAACACAAAGAGACACATAGAGACCACAAGGAGACACAAAAAGAGACTCCAAAAGACCACAAAGAGGAACAAAACGTCGCCAAAGAAACCACGAGTAGGGATGCACCGAATATTCGGTAACCGAATATATTCGGCCAAATATTGCAAAAAAACACACATTCAGTATTCAGTGGAATAAGTTAAAAGCAAGGCCGAATAATAGCGGCGTGTTTTGATAATGCAATCAAACAGCGTGCCGTGACGGGCGGAGTACAATGTCGCCACACTCGCATTTGCGAATAAAAATAGTTTTGAGCGAGCAAAATAGGCTTAAATCATTCAGCACGCTGTGCGAGCAGCCTACAGGTTCCAACCAGCAGCAGAAACAAAAGGCGAATCCCACCGATTGTGGGTTGAACGGGGGTCACAGACACAGACAGGAATGTATTCCTGTCAAATATGGCGGCCATCGGCTTACCGGCAACGGAGAAGTCGGCTCCAATAATATCCTCTTCTTGGCGTGTGGACTGCCCAGAAGTACCTGAACATCCGAGCCAGCCGAACACAGGTATGTTACGTGTCAGAGGAGAAACGAGCCGTTCACGGCCCACAAACCTCACCGCACTTTAGGGACTGTACTTTACTTATGAAGGGACTGTTCTTTACTTATGAAGGGACTGTTCTTTACTTGTCAGGGGAGGAGGGTGGCTGGTTGATTCTTATTTTATTTATTTATTTTATTTTGATCCCCCTATGTTAATCACTGATTGATGCTGTTTTTGAAGTATGAATAAGTCAATAAGTAATTTATTCCAATGAAATATCAATGATGTATTATAGAAAAGTGATTTATCTTATAATAAATGACAAAAAGCACATCTGACTCATTTTCGCTGTGGTATCGTGATACTACTCAGAACCATGATATTTTCATTGGTATCGCGCCGTGGGTCCCAATTTTGGTACCGTGACAACACTAATTTGGAGGGGGTTCATCTGCAAAAATGAATGAAAAACTAAACAACGATATTCAGTATTTGGTAATCGGTATTCGGCCAAGCGTTTAATATTATTCGGCTTCGGCCGCAAATTTTCATTTCAGTGCATCCCTAACTACGAGTCATAAAAAGATCATAAAGAGACTTAAAAAGACCATGAAGAGACACCAGAGAGATTTGAGACCACAAAAAAACTCAAAAACATCATAAAGAGACACAAAAACACAAAGAGACACAAAGAGACACAAAAAAACCCACAAAGAGATGCAAAGGAACTGCAAAGAGACACATAACGACGACAAAGAGACATAAAACAACTGCAAGTAGACACAATACGATTAAAGGGCGGCAAAAAATGACCAAAAGAGACAAAACAATCACAAAGCGACTTGACATATGCCTTTGCAGCATACGTTAAGTGAACAATTTAAATTCAGCCAAATTATTCTGAGAATACGTGGTGAATGATCACAAACACTCTGAAGATAAGAATCTTCAGACAAAACAAAACAGTTGAATCTCAACTAATGAGCTGTTGAAATGTCACAAATGCTCCGTAAGCTATCTGTAGGCGGACGATCCAAAGAAAGTATTACCTCATATATTTGGAAGTGCATCCCAGGAATCCAGTGTCCCAGGATTAAACTCTGTTATTGCTTTGCATCCTCCCGTTAATCGTTGTTTCTCTTTATTTGCTTTATATTCTGTTTCACACCACAACACATCGTATCGTATCCTTTGCATGTTGAAAAAGGCCCTTCACTGCAACACTAACATTACATACAATTGAGCTGATTTCAGGTGGCAAATCTCAGAGTGTAATAATGTGATTAACTTTGAGTCAGTAAAAGTCTGTGTGGATGGTGATGGCAGTAAATGTTTCAAACTATTTAACACAGAAGTCACCTACCAGTAAAGTGACCACTTTGACCGTCACTCCCTGCATCCCGTTCTCTATCCGGCTCTCCTTCAGACTGCCGTTCAGTCCGTGAACTGAGTCCCACGTAGCGAGCTGCACAGAGTGACAAAGAGAAGACAGAGAAACGGTGTATCAATAACACAAGACTGAGCCTGATGATTTCATTTGTGTGTGTGTGTGTGTGTCAGAGGTCCTTCAGAGGAAACACAGAGGTGAATGCAACAGGCGGAACAATCGTTAATTAATCCAACAGTGTGCGGCTCACAGGCTGCAATTTTCACCATTTATTCACTGGTCTCAGTGGATTCAGGAGGAAGAGTTCACTGCTGCAAATGAGACGGGACAAAGAGACGAGCACCATGAATATGGCAGGGAGAAAAATGAGGAGACGTCTATGCAGCATGCCAAAAACTCACTCCAGTATTCAGTGCCTGTTCAGCCACACACAAAACCAACCTGACCTAATTAGGTCCAAAAAACAAACAAAAACCCTGTACCAACCAAGCGACCCTCTCAGGGAAATCAACTCAAAGAGCATCATGAATTCATTTGTTTCACACGCACACTGACTTCATGTGTACGTCAAGAGAGCATGTGAGATCATATAATGTTCCACATATATAATGTCCTCACAAAGGTCTTTTCCTTTTTCACATGTGAGAGGCTCGACTGATGTTTCTGCTCATTACGGAGAAGTAATAACTGATCAGTGACAACAGGAAGCAGAAACTATAACTTCTAGAACCTGTTGCATATCTGCCCCCTCTGATTCATCTCTGACGACGCCTGTATAATAAGGCCAACTACAATTACCGCGCCGTGGTCGTGTGACTCCGCCCACCAGTCCTGTGTCTCTGACGGTCTCCATCCATGTCAGTGAAAACATGGATGCTTCACACACACACAAGATCTATACAATCAGCACAGTGTCAAGATTAGAGTCACCAATTCAGTATCTGACCAAATGTCTCCCCTTCTGTTCCTGAGATATGACATTAAAACATGATGATGTCACAGTCAAGCTGACCTTTGACCTTTTGACCTTCATAATTTTATCCTCTTAGATATTTGTGTGAAGTTTTGTCATGATTAGAAAACGAATTCTTGAGTTATGGCCAAAAACATACGTACGTTTGTGCCAAATATGAGGATATTCACTCAAAGTGACCTTTGACCACCTAAATCTAATCATGTCATCACTGAGTCAACAGAGATGTTTGTGCCAAATTAAATTACCAAGGTCACGAAAATGGGACAGACGGACACACCTACTTATGGACAACCCGAGAGCATATCGCTCACCTGGAGGCTTACAAATTTTAAAAAATGATAATACTAGTGATCAAAAAGTAAAGTTAAGAATGATAAAAATAAAAGTTAAAAGTATGACACTGAGTCAAGATTATAATAAATGAAAGAGACTCATGTTTTTACTTCATTTATAATTCTGACTCATGATCTCACCACCTTTCAACACTAATTATAATATCCTAATTTTGCTTTTGTATTTTATCATTTTTACTCACCTCGACTATTTTTTATCTTTATCCTTCCTAGCTTTAAATCATTTTCCTCCAGCGCCACCATCAGGTCAACATTTTACTTTGTCCAATACTTTGGTTTGTGACTAAATACCTGAGTAGACACAGCTGAACGCGGAGCAGCTCCATGACTCCACCGTACCTACACGTCAGTCCAAGATCAGTTCCCTCTACCTGTGAGAGCCCTGAGGAAAATGCTAAGTTAGAAATCAGCTAGCTACAAAGTGTTTGCTGTGCCTTTTTATTGTTGCCAGGCAACCACCCGATCATGTCTTTACCTCAACCTTCTCATGTAATCAAACTACAATTTTGTTTCCCAGTAATCAGTGTGTAGTTGCTGCCATGTTGAGGCAGAAGGTACTGTCTGCAGCTCTGGTTGAGGGTGAGAGGCTGTCAGCAGATAAACAGAGACCCTGAAAAAGAGGCTGGATCATGGGGAGTACCACCAGTTGGTCCAGGAGCTTCTCCTCCATCATGGACGTTTACAGGCATATTTTAGGATGACTCAGGGGCAGTTTGACAACCTGCTGTCTATCGTCGGGCCGTATAGCTCTGGATATCCAGCAACCACTACTGCCAGTTTCTCCTCCATTGTTTACCAACTGTAAACTTGTTGTCGTGACCACCACAGAAGGCCCGCCTCTCAAATCCTCTGATTGGACAATGGGTTAGAAAGGAGGAAATGACGTGGGCGCTTTTCTGCTCTGAGTTGACATTTTTTCAACTCAAGGAGTTCAGAGCGCTCCGGCAAAAACACCGGGCATGAAGTCTAAATTAATTTTGGTTATTTTACTCCTGCAGCATCATGAAGATAAAAGTGTGGACTGATCTGAAAGTCTTTCAGGGTTCGTACGTTCAACTGTTGTAGGAACTCCGACATCTGTGATTCAGGATTTGGCTGCTTCAGAAAGATTTTCAAACCAGAAAAAACAAGTTTGCAAATCCATTTCAGCAGCATCTTAATCAAACTACTTCCTGTTCAACATCGAGTCTCTTCCTCATCTTAATACACACAAATCTCAAGGCTGCGTGTTGTTTGTGTGCCGATATGATGCATGAGTTTTACATTTTGTTTTTCAATTTCAAAATGATTTCCATGACCTCTCTTTGACAAATAAAACACAGTCAGACTTCCCAAATGTCAAAAGTTGTTGATACACGAGCATCCGCACAAGAACGAGTAAACAGGACAACAAATGTGGGCAGATATGTGACGGCAGCTCTGGAAACTTCACAGATGAGACATCTGTGTTAATACCAACAGGGACTGAAACTCATTACCAACCTGAGTCATAACAGGCTGCATTTTTACATTTTGATTTTCAGCTGCTTGTTTTTGTCACCAGGTGCTCTCCATTAGAGAGTGTGTGTGTGTTTGTGTTGAATAATAAGACTGAATGCACGGCTCAGCGCGATGCAACTGCTCTGTGTGTGTGAGTGTCATTTGAATAAAGAGCAGGAAAAAAAATGTTGAGATGTTTGTGTTGTAATGCTGGCTGGAGCTGCTGTGACACACACACACACACACGGATTATTGATTAGGTGATGGTTGAACAGGCTCCACCCTCACACACGTCTCTGTGATCCCTCATTAATCCATCAGCATGTTGTGTTTGTACACATCTTGGTTCCTTATGAGACAAACTGAGTTTAATTGCACATGAAGCCGTCTCTTATTAAAACAGACTCATTGTCTGTGGCAGCGTTGTGTAATTAAACTAATCGCTTTATGTACAGTTTAATTCGTCAAAGTGAGACAAAGAAAATAAAATCAATATAATAATAAGGGGTCACTTTCACATTAGAGGAGGCTAATAAAACAGTGAGATCAACTGCGCTCTGATTAGTTTCAGCTGACAGTTAATGTGAGCACGCTCTGTGATCTCTGACAGGATGTCTTCATTAGCGTCATTAAGCTAAACACGCTGTCTGTTTCTTGTTGTACAGTGTGCAGAGCTGTAAACAGCCAGACAGGGTCATACAATAATACATCGCTAACACGGCTCAAACAAATGACTCTGCTAATACTCTGCTAACGATGACAATAAAACACAGACAAGTGTGTTTATTCAACTCTGCTGCCAACGTACTGCTCGTTCTCTGGTAATTACATACCACTGAAAGATTAGCTTTAAGTGATCAGAACAAATGTATGAATGAATAAATAAAAATACAAACAAAGGAGTAAATTAAACCAAGTAAATATAGAATTGTTTCAGTAGTCCTCCTTTGAAACTGTAGAAAATACTTCTTTTTTCTTTCTTTATTTTTTGAATACGCAAAAAAAAAAAAAATAAATAAATAAATAAAATAAAATAGAATAAAGCTAATAATAATTGTGCCTCTCTGGGCACCGCGCTCACGTGTGCTAGCTTGCATGCCCGCCTTCATGTGTGTTCACGTGCTTTCGCTGGTCTCACGCACAAGCACGCACATGTGAGGCAGTCAGAGCTACAGGCTACAATGAGGCTAAAAACAGAGTTCAAATGACATTTTTCCAAACAACTTTTTATGTCGGGGCTTCAGGACACTTGGATCACTACGGACGAGCAGTATGGAGATATTTTGTGGTTTCAATTATGTGTTTTTGGACGTTTGAATCTGGGGCGCCATCAGCCTCCATTAGGTGGAGTTGTGTTGCTACCACCTCTCCCCTTGGATCTCTGCAAGTGATGTGAGGACTCTAAAACTTCACCTGAGCCTCCCTCGGCATATGGGTGAGTAGATAATGGCTGCATTTTCATTTTTGGGTGCACTATCCCTTTAACCTCAAGTTAATGTTATAGAGGTTAGGTTTATGCAAGTAATGTTACTGTGGGTAGGGTTAGTAAAACAAACATGTTGAGGACATGACTCAAAGTTCAGACAGTTTTGAACGCCTGTCTCTGGGGGAAAGTCCTGTGTTTTGTGACCCATCCATCACACTAACCTGTCTCCTAACTGGACTGCTTGGAAACACTTCATTATTTGGTCCCGTGAACGCATTTGTGACATGATCACAGCCTTTTTGGTGCATTACTTTACGAAGGAAAATGTATATGAGAACAGCTTCTGGTTCTAGTTCTGCTGTGGTTGAATCATCAGTACAACTATGTTGGAAAATCTCTGGTTCTTTAATAAAAAGTCAAAGGTTCCAGCTCGTGGACGTAAAAACTGACGGAGAGAAGCAAAGTCTGACTCCCCGGGTCCAGACCCAGTCATGGTAGAGTGGAGATTTAATAACATAGGTCCTCTATGTGTATGAATATTTTTGAAAACATATACTTTCGCTACCGTTCTCCATCTCCTTTTGGAGTTTTAACACATGTCGGATGGTAAGAGGACAGAGATGAATCTTGATGTGCTTTTTTGTCCTTTACAGCTACAAAGCTAGGGCGGCTTAAAAATGTGGAAGACATCAGGCAGGATTTCGTCAATTCAAGAAATCCATGACGCACACAATCACAAATTGTCTCAGCAGATGAAACAATCTGTGCGACATATGAGGCGCTCCAAACAAAAAAATACGAGTTATAGATGGGAGACACAGAAAAAGACAAGTGAAGAAGAAGG